TTTTTTTTTCTTCGTCTGACATTCGATTCGCCCCCCACCAGCCTAACGGTCACCCGTCTTAAGTTTGGTACAACTTCGCATTTTCGAAGAATTTTAAGAATATCACGCGAGAAGTGGTCACTTTGTTCATCTTGACTCCTCTGACCATAAACTTGACAAGTGAATGTTACTCTTCATAAACTTGTTAGTCTTCATAGTTCTCACTGCCTATGTTCGATACTGGCTTACAGATGGTGCACGATTGATTTTTTCGTCAGCCACCTGTCCGGACGAGTTACAGCGAGCGACCGAAAGTATCGTCGATGAAGAGCATTTGTACTGTATTAGAACCGATAATTTACACTGCCTTATGCCACATGTTAAGCATACATTCATCCGGATAAGGGAAATGGACAAACTGGAAAAACTGAAGGAATTGCTGCAAAAAGGACTGAATTTCGCAAGTGGCCAAACATTGATTTTTTGCAAGGTAACAAACATTTCTCAGTTTTTTGGCTGCTTACAACACATCAGAGATGATTGTCTTTGAATTTTTGGAACAATTTTGACATCCTGAAACTTTTTTTATAACTTTTTTTGAAACTATTTTACATTAGTGCTTGCAATATGCGTTTTTCCTGTTCGCCGAATCAACTTAACCCCCTCACCCCACCCTTGCTTAAATAGCTGAGTTTTAAACAGCGCACAAAAGGTTGAGCCTTCGCTACGTCTCTTCTTGATGTGGCTATTTTTAAAAGAAGCTCTGTAACAAAACACTGTTTTTGATAATGACTTACTTTAGGATTTAAGCAACGTGAAACTGGTGTCGACGGCGCTTCGCGAGAATGGTATTGAGCATGCTGTTTGTGGTGGTGGCCGCCAAATTAGGCATCTAATCGAAGAATTGCGCGATGGCAAGATTCGAATAATTGTAGCAACCGATGTAGCTAGCAGGTGATGATGAAATTTTGAACTTGTCTCTCCGGCTTAAACACTCAGCCCGTGGTGTGTTGTGATGCAGCTTATACTCGTGGCATGATGAGATGCAGCTTTTTGATGGACTGTAGAAATGCAAGTCATCGTTAAAATGAGGGGCAATTGGTCGATGATGACGGTCGTAAGGATAGAAAGACATCAGAATGTATACGACTTAATGGACCGAAACATTTCTTGCCGTTAAAAATATTTTCAACATTTTATTATTTCTTCCTTTAACATTAAAATATTTTATCTTATCGAAATAGCAGCAACACCTGAGTAGTAATACCGAACTAATAGTGACATCAGGCCAATTCTGAAAGTGCCCAATTTCTGCAGATTATTGTTTCTTGAAATGTCTCTGGAAGGCACTTTCAGGAATTGCTCTCGTGCGTTATCTGTTGAAATCCAAAAATAAGATACGTTTCTTTTTTGACTAATGAATATTTCAGGGGATTGGATTTGGCACACCTCAGACACATTGTCAATTACGATTTCCCGCGACAAATATCAGATTACGTACATCGCTGTGGCAGAATAGGACGTGTTGGAAGTATTCACAAATCGTTGGTAACATCATTTGTGCGACGTGCATGGGAAGTGAAACATGTGAACACTATTGAGGTTGGTCATCTCTGTGCTTTTCTGAGGCTTTTACTGCTGGGTCTTTGCACATGCTCCTCATTTACTTCTGCAGTTTTCCAAATCGTAGTGAAAATGTTGATGCTTTACTAAAATTTGGGACTTTTTTGCCCGTCCCAGTAGCAAATAGCTAAAATATCAGTTTTTTTTTTTTCGGTTCGGTTTTGTTGATTTTGTCCTCAGAAAAAAAAAAGCTGCCG